CTACGGTGATCTGGCATGCTGCTTCAGAACTTGAAGCGATGATTCACACGCCCTCCACTGTCAGAACCACTGCAGATAGGTACCAAATTCAATGTTTTGAATTGGTTATGGTTTTTGTTGGAACAGTAGTAAACAAATCTAGTAAATGAATGCTGTAAATTATTTATATATGTATATATAGCATAGATATATATATATATATAAAAGAAAAGCAGTACTTTGACTAAGCTATAGTTTGCAAGATATTGATGGCATCAGGCAAAATTGTTTTGTATAATTAAATGCTTAGCTTTACTTTTTATGTAAAGTGCAGCATTTTCCATATTTGTGTACTGTATCTTATTGATCAGATGTTTAAAATTATTTTAAATACTGCATTAAAGCAATTATTTTATTAAAAATAATAAATCAGTAACTCTGTTTCCTAACCTGAGAAATGCAGCGTCTGAAGCTGTCGTCACCATGACTAATGGCGTGGCTCTGAGAGCGAGCCCCGGCTATCTGCCCATCGCAGGAACTGGCACGGCTGCCCCACGTGACGTATTAATGATAAAAATCTATATTTTAAGGTTTTTAAACAGAGCTAGGTGACAGAGCAAAGGATTACTTGAAGTGGGGATGGGCAGGGAGAAAAAGCAACCTCTCATTTCTCTGATTTCTCCCAGTCAGCCGGCACAGAGGCTGGAGCTGGTTTTGGTTTTTAACAGCGGGGTGAGGGGAGCACTTTGCATGTGTTCGGGGAAGTAAAAACACAGGAACCGTCTCAGACTTCAGCAATGTGCAGTGGAAGCATTGTCCCAAAGGATTTCTAAAGCAACTCACAATTAATTAAGGGCAGGTTGGAGAACAAAGAGGAGCATCTGCATCTCGGCCTGCCTCTACGTCTTCTTTAAACCAATGCGATACTAAACTGAGAGATGTTGGAGAAAATAATTGACAAATAATCTGTGTGTAAAGTACGATGCATGAGTCACGGGTTTTTATGGCCTGCGTGGCATGCAGATTGCGTGCCTTCATTGCTGCCAGAGCAAGCTGTCTCTTTCAACAGTATTTCCTCCACGTGTGCCACCTCTGCCCAGCCCCACACCCCCAAAACACACCCCAAACCCTGAAATTTTATGCTGTAAGGAGTAGCAGACATTTTCAGAAAGGTTTTTCAGAAGGTATTTAGGCCTAATTTCAGACAGGGACAGGTGAGCCCTTGGTGCAAAGGCTAAAACTACTTTTCTCCTTCCCAAAGGCTCAGCCTGCCTCATTCAAGCTCAAGTGACCTCTAAAGTGGCACTTGGGAGACGCTTGGGCTTTGCTCAGCCACACCAGGAGTTAAAGGAGAGATGGCCAGGGGTTCACTTTCTGCCCCTTTTCCCCAGTCTTGCTGCCCTTTATGGGAATACTAAAATCCCAGTCGCAGGGTGATGAGGACAAACCCTGCCATCGTGCTCCCTTGCCTCAGTCCTCGGCCTGCTCGTGTCCCAGCTGGGGAGCCTGGCAGCAGAGCTGCCTGTGCCACCGGTGCCGCGAGGGGTCTGGAGCTTGCTCCGGGCACTCTTGCTGTCCAGGTGGCCTGCTAGCCAAGGGGCTATTTCTGATGCACGGAGCTCTCTGGGAAACGATCCCTGCCACTCGAGTGTTCAGCCTTTAGAGAAAACAGTGTACACAGAGGTGGGGGGAAAGCTGTTGGTGCTGGCTCTTGACTACTACTGTCTTAGCAGTGTGGTGTGCAGAGTTTTGTATGTTACATGGTGACAGAAGGGGCCCTGTGCTCTCTCTTCCAGCTGCTGCTTTTTCCCTCTATTGCCATTTTCGAGTCTTACCACTGAATCCAGCCCTTTGCACTGTCTCTGACTCCAGCTTTTCCCTTCTCCCCCTGGGAAAGACCAGCCGGAGCTCACTAACACAGCCCGCAGCTTTGTTCGAGGTTTAATGAGGAAAGTAGTGGGGGCCCGTGAGACGTTGTTGGATGATTCCTCAAAGCCATTGCGCTCTCTTGGACACTTTGACACGAGTAGCTTAAGGCTACTGTCTGCATCAAGTTGTTCCAGGCCCACTCTCTTGTAGGCACCTGTGTCCTGCCATGTGAGCGCACTGTGCTTGGCAAAAACGCTGTCAGCGGTTCTCCAGGTTCATCTCTTTGCCCTGTTCTGTGCTTTCCTCTTCATTTGTAACCACTGGGTGTAAGAAGAAAGGACTAAAGCAAACGAGGATGTCCTGCAGGGGCAGACAGTCCAAGTGATTGAACTTGGTGGAAGGGGCTTGCTCCCAGCAACGCTTCAAATGAGGGCTGCGGGGTTTCTGGAGCCGAGCGCCGCACACACTTCCCTCTGCGTGTAGCACACATGATGTCTACATATACTCGGAGAACTGGATCCAGCCGTTGTTATCTAAAACCCCGTGGCTGGAGCCTGCAGCTCTGGAGATAACTACACTCTGCAGTGAAGGCTTTACTCCTTTGATGAGTGCAGAATTTGAAGTACCGAGACTGAAGGATGTAGCACACCGGACCTCTCTGTTTTGCCACTGTTGGTGTTGGTCTGGTTGCTACGTGTCAGTGGCTTGTCCCACCCCCATCTGGCAGAAAGGCTGCCTATGTGCAGGCCACAATGCCGGTGTTTCACTTGGTGCAGGCCTTTCGTAAGCTAGACGAGCGCCCCTTTTGGCTTTGTAACACCTCGAAGGAAAGCAAGAAACCCATGTCTTTTCCTTCCAGATACATCAGTCCATGTTCCTGCCGCCTCTTCTTTGCTCTTCTACTATAGGCATGAGCTGGTCACTCCTTGCCTGCTCGCTGTAGCTATTCTGGTGTGTTACCTGCTGACTTTGCTACCCAGTCTCTCCTCAGGATCCCTTGCTTCACAGTTCACAGGTTGCCTCCAGGCAGCCTGCTTTTGAAAGGGTTGTTGCTGTGAAGGAGGATCTCCATCCTGGACTTGAATGGCTCTTCTGGAGCGGAAGGAGGTGGTGGTGCAGGTCAGCTCACAGCCCTGAGGCTGCTACTTTCTGTGCAGGGAACAGATCCTCGCAGGAAGTTTGTTTCGTGGTGGCCAAGACCTCTGCCATTGAGTCCTACTTCGGTCAAGAGTTTTCCACAAGGTATTTCCCAACTTCCAAGGGATGTTTCCCTGGCAGAGCCACCTAAAGTTCCTGCCAGACACCCCATCAGAGCCGGTCATCCCTTCTCTTCCCCAACTCCTGACTCACAGTCCCACAGCTCTTCCAGGTATCTCCTCTTCAGTCTGTTTGTCTCGGGAAGGGTATAGAGCCATGTCTCGCATGATTCAGGTGGGACATTGGGTGGTATCACGACCTGCACTGAGGCCCCAGGGGGTGATTAGTACGTGTTTCCCCAGAGCTCTGCCCATCAGCAGCGTCACTGAAAGGCTGCCTCCCCTGGGGCTGTGCCCTGGTGGGAGGGAGCAAAGGTGGGGGTCTGCTGCATGGGTACCGCTAAGGCAAAAAGGTCGTCTTCATCGCAGCAGCTTGGCACGCACGGTCCCGCTCCGTGGGCTTTACTTGAAGAATTGGGAGTTATCGGTAAGCAGTGACTTCCTCCACCAGATCACAGGGAATACTATTTTTAAATCTATTTAGAATGAAAAATTATCTGACAGATCATCTGTATCTGTTTTTGAGAGCTAATTCATAATTATGTGTACTTCCCCAAGCTTCTTGAGATATTTGCACTTCCACTTTGAAGTGTTCAGCGTGACGAGGTTTATT